AAGGAGTCGACGAACCTGGATCCACGACTTCCGGACCGTGATCATGGTCACCAAGATCACAACTCGAAGGTCCACGGTAATGGTTTTAACCGCAATCGATGATCGCACTGTGGATCCAGGAAGCACTCGGACCTTGGTTGCTGGAAGCGCGTTACATGCACGAAGTGCGGCAAGAGAGGCATCCCTCGGATCACTGCCTCTTCGTGTGTCGCGGATGGGGAGGCTTGCATGACATGGGAAAATGTCCGATGGAAGAGTTCTACAACCAGATCCGCCAGTGGGTTACCCCCACGAAGCACATGGGTAAGCTGCTGAGAAGATGTTAAACTAGGACGCTCGTGTGGTGAAGTGCGATCAAGATCTCACGGGAAAGGCAACCTCGGCTGCCAGATCGCAAGATAGAGATGAACCAGGCGACAGAAATCCCACTCCGAGCCAAGACATCAAGTCACCTCTCCAAGTTCCAGTGTGCGACAACGCCGGCGAGTGATGTTGACTTCGGATGACCCAAGGTTGATCCCTGGAATGATGGATGGCAACGATACCCATACCGCACCGCGAGAATGGAAGATCAAGACGAATGGGTGGACATGAGCCGCTGTCGGCCCGCGATCCGGGACTGTGGCAGATTAGCAGAAAGTGATTGAAGAAATATGGCGACACGAGAAGCCGCGCATACCATGGATCAAGATACACAAGGTAAAGGCGATCCCAGGTCAAGGCAAGATAGTGATCCAGGGTTAGCGGAAGGAGGCGAGGCGAGATCGTCGGGTGGCAGCAGTCATGCACCCCGGGGTGAGTGGCAACGACGAAGATCACCGCGCGACGGCGATCAGGAGAGGGCTCAAGATCACCGATCAGAATCGCGGATCGAGATCGACGATCGTGATCGCCAAAACCCAGAAACCGCTGATATCGACCGAGATCGACCGTTGATATCGACCCTAGAAACTCGATCGAGGGCGGGATTGCAAACGCACCTCAGATCGAGGCAACGCTTCCCACCCCGGAAATGCGCCATCTATCTACACCAACGACTAGCCCCGATGCCGATCGATACCTGAGCGGCGATGCTGGGGGCGGCAGGATAAGTGAGAGCATGCCGGACCAGGCTACCGATCGGACGGACACCAAAGATATCAAGACGGAAAATCGGACTGGCACCAAGGATATCGAGCTGAAAACGGGAAATCCGAACTGCCAAACCCAGATCAAACTCGAATCCGGCGAAGGCTTCTACATAAAGTCCCCGATCCACCCGACCGAGGGCGTCGAACTACGAGGTCCGTCGGCGGAAGGAGCCGCAGCGACCACCCCACAGGATGCCGAGGACGATGATGAGATATAATACCACGAGAGTGGTGATCTCCCACCTGAAGATCTTGAGGGAAACCTTGCTGTCCTCCCCGAAATCCCGATCTCGACGACCGCGAAGGTCAGCATCGAGGATCTGCAGGTGGGAGACTCCGGATCGGCCACACCCGAGGATATCGAGAAGCTCCGGCAGATCATTTGCACTTCCTGATCGGCAAAGGGAACGCCCTGCCACCGGCGGCCTAGGGCGTCGTGTGGGACATCGATGTCGGGAATGCGAAACCGATCGCACTGCGAACCCGGAAAGTAACCATGCGATTTGGAGAAAAAGTCGCATGCCTGATCAAGGGCCTCCTGGCAGGCGAGATCATCCGACCCTCGACATGCCATGGGCCTCACCGATCATGATTGTCCGCAAGACTAAGGACGTGGATGCATCGATTACAAGCTGGTAAACAGCCTCACGAGGTTGATGGTCTACCCTATGCCCCTGATCAGCGATCTGCTAGAGGACCTTGATAAGACATTATGGTATTGCTCGCTGGATATGGCCCGTGGGTTCTGGGTCGTACCCATGACGGATCGGGCTCGCGAGATCTCAGCATTTGTCACCCTGTTTGGACTATTCGAATGGAGTCGCATGCCTTTTGGCCTGAAAAATGCCTCGCAGATTTATCAACGCCTCGTAGACAACGCGCTGTATGGATTTTTGAAAATCTCGCGATCAGGCGACACCGAAGCTACAACGCACGTGTTCCAGACAGGGATCGCGGACGATCCTGATCGGGGGTCAGTGTTGGGACCGAGATCATACATTGACGACATCATGATCGCGGCAGAATCGTGGGATCAAATGTGCCAAAGTGTGGAAGATCTGTTGGAGGCTTGTGATAAATGAAATCTATCAATCAGTGTGGTAAAAATGCTTCTGGGGCATGGATAAGGTAGGATATCTGGGGCACCGAGTGTCGATAGGAGGTCTGGAGGCGAACCCAAAAGATCTGAAATCCCTGACCGATTTACCATTCCCCGGATCACTCCGAGCCATGCAGTCGTTCCTGGGTAGTTTTAACTACTACAGCCGGTTCATTGAAGACTACGCTATTTACGCCTCGGTGCTATATGGACTACGCGAGGTGGAGTTAGCAGAACTGGAGAAACGATCGGATCTGAGGAAGATAATGGACCAGAACGACCCGATTGCACAGGATCACGACCCACCAGAACCGCAGCTGGCGGAACCAATAGATGAGAGGTGGATCAGGGCGCATGAGGCCTTCATCACCCTGAAAACCAAGATCGCGACGACTCCAATTCTCCGCCACTTCGACGAGACGAGAACGCCGGTAGTTATTGTATATGCCAGTGATTGGGCGCTATCCGCTTCGTTGACGCAAGAACACGACGGTATCTACCATCCAGTTGCGTTCGCCAGCCGCACCCTGAAGGCGAACGAGTTGAATTGCAATGTGACCAAAAAGGAGGTGTTGGCGTCGCTGAGGATCTTGGATCTCTACTACAACTTACTAGTAGGATGTGAGATCCGAGTCCTAACAAGGCATTCCACGTTAGCCTGGCTGTTCAGGTCGACAGGATTACAGGATCGCCTAGGGCAGTGGTCAGCTCTCCTAACCCCGTGGACCCTCGAGATCACGAAGTGCACGAAATGCGAGGACGAGATACTGGGGGCGATGGCTGCCAGCATCACGTCGAGGGCGAAGGTCAACGACGCTCTGACCGACATCGCTCCCCGGAAAATAGCTAAACGCTGGATCCACGCGCCGATACCCACCGTAGATCGAGAAGAAGAATTATGGGTGGTCAGTTTTGTCGGATCCGCTCGAGTGAAGCGTGGCGGGGGCGCGTTCAGCGCGATCGTGTGGAGTCTCCCCGGATGGGAGGTGGTCAAAGCTAGACGTGTTATCTCGAGAGCCTCACCGTGAACGAAGCAGAATACAACGGCCTGATCCTGGGACTCAACATGCTAGAGGACCTAGATCACAAACGCCTAGTGATCTGCGGTGATTCCAACTTAGTGATCCGACCAGTACGGGGCGAGATCGATTGTAAAGCACCCGGGGTGACGCTATTGAAGCGGAAGGCCCTCGATCGCCTGAGGAAATGGAACGATCACGAACTAGTGCATGTGAAGGGAGACTGGAATGGGAGTGCCGACAGTCTAGCGAGTGCTGCTTTGTAACGACAAGGTCCGGGAGGGCTCGAATACTAAGATCTGGTTACCCTGTACCGGTTGGACGAAATCCTGATTCCCAAGACCGAGAACCCAGTGGTGCGGGTTGCAGCGGTCACCACCCCAGCTTTTCGAATAAGATCACCTGCGGGTGTCATGGAAGAGGACCTGATCCGGGAGATGCGAGTCGATGGGATCAAGCAGGCTCAGAAGGAGGAAGTCTGGATCGCAGGTATGAAGAAGTATCTGAGTGGCTCGATCGCAGACCTCACGCAAGCAGAAGCAACATCGTACGGCAAGATCGCTGGCGACTATGAGGTGGACGAACCAGATCTACGCTTCTACTGCCCTCCCACACAGAGATCGGGGGATGATCGCGATCGGTTGCTGATATTGGTAGTTCCGAAACACTACAATCGGACATCTTGCATAACTATCACCCTACGCTGGAAGGAGGACATCAGGGAGTGGGGCGTACCTACCAGCGGATCAGGGATCACTTCCACTGGAGAGGATTATATCGGAGCGTTCAGCGATATGTGGGGGAGTGCGTGGGCTGTGAAACGGGAAAAGGAAAACCGGTGATCCGAGGTGAATCACCAGGGAACTTGCAGACGACATACCCGTTCCAGATCATTGGTATGGATCATATACTGTCGCTGCCCAGATCCCACAAGGGGAATACTGAGTTGTTGATCTGGGTTGATCTGTTCACAGGATACGTGATCGGGAAAGCTAGCTCATCCCGGTCGGCCCAGACGGTCGCGGAATCGTACGAAGAGAATATATATCGACGATTCGGTGCCAGCGAGATGATCCGGCATGATTGAGAACCCGGTTTCATCTCCGACTTCTTCCGGTCGTTTAATAAAATCCTGGAATACCGCCAGCAAGCCACGATGACATATCGGCCGCAAGCCAACGGGACCGCAGAAAAAATGGTACAAACTGCGACTAGGCACTCAAGATGTACGTTCGCGACCTGGATCAAAAGGATTGGGACGAGTATGCTGAACAACTTACATTCGCGATCAACACGGCCCACGATCGGATCCGAGGAGATACGCCTCATTATCTGGTGCATGGGTGGGATCCGAGTTCGACGCTGGAGGCTACACTGCTAGTCGGATGTACCAGACGGCGCGATCGAGACGCGAGGCGGTGGCGTTATCAGGTCCAACGATATTATCAGCAGTCCCGGGAGCAAGTCAACGCCAGATTGAGGGAAGCCATTGCGGATGGGGCCAGCCGACATAATGAGGCTGTCGGATCGCACCAGATTGAGGCTGAATCTCGTGTTTGGTTATACCAGACCGGGTGAAGGAAGGATACGCGCGGAAATTGGCTCACTTGTGGCATGGGCCATTCCGGGTGGCCGAAAAGATCAACGAATTCAGCGTCAAGCTCGAGATCGCGGGTACTGGGTACCAGATCTTTCCAGTAGTTCACGGGTCGAAGCTGAAATTGGTCAAGAATTTTCCGGAACGACCGCGAGTAGAACTCACGGTGGACGAATCAGATCGCCTATTAGATCGCCTCTATTTCGATGAGATCCTGCTTCCGGAGGACAGTTGGGTCCCAGATCTCGGGGCCGATGAGTACGAAGTCAAGCGGATCTCGGATGTGCGGAGTGGGAAGAAGACGCGATTTGGTAGGATCTACCGAGAATTCCTGGTGCATTGGGGGGGGGTCACACTGAACGGCTCCGGAATACTATGCCGGAAAAGTGGCTGGAACAGAGTGTTCACGCTGCCAGATCCGGAAAGGACTATGCCGGAAAAGAAACAAAAAAACGTGCTAGTAAAGCCTTTGTATAGGGGCTGCTCGGGATTAGCCCCAATCGCAAAAGCAAAAGAACACGATCATAGTTAACACACGTTCCTCCACCATGCGAGCGTCAAGGAGACTCTCAAGACGCTCCAGGACGGCAGCTAACAGCACCAGTATTAGGACGACGAGGACGTCCGCCATTGGTCCCAGTCCGGCAGCTACGAACTCCATGGCTGTCGCCACCAGTACCAAGATGGCCGCCACCAGCACCAAGACGACCGCAGCAAGCTCCATGGCTGTCGCTACCAACACGAAGACGGCCACCACCAGCTCCAGGCCGGCTGCTGCGAGCGCCATGGACGTCGTCACCAGTCCCAGTCCGGCTGCTGCGAGCGCCATGGCCGTCGCCACCAGCACCGAAACGGCCTCCATCAGTACCAGGATGGCCGCTGCAAGCTCCACCGCCGTCAAACGCAGTACCAGGGCGACCGCTGCAAGCTCCGCGGCTACTGTTACGAGCAACAGCTCACGATGGATGATGAATGTACGAAGCGCTTGTGAAATGCATGCTAATATATTCGACTATTATGATACCTTGTGTTATGACAGAGCATTCGCAGCTTGCCTACTCAGAAGCGACTAGCTATTCTACTGACTGTGATACAGCTAGTAACCCAAGAATTGCCGTCGCCGCTGCGGGGAGATCCTATCCAGTTCGTGCAGGCATTTATGGTTTTGATCGGGACGGAACTTTCTCGCGTTGGAGTCCCACGCTCGAAGGTCGGTCGCAGCATTGACAGGTGTACGCGGGTTTTTACACCGCACATGACACCAAATGAGTTTCGGGTTAACTTTCACCTGACGAAGGCTTCTTTTGCTCGTCTGCTGTGGCGTTTGGAGCCACATATCACTAAGAAAACTACCACTTTTTGTAGAACTTTGTCAGCACCAATCCCTCTTGCAGTATTTCTCTACTATGCTGGACACGGTTGCTCACTGCACCAATTGCGATCTCAGTTTGGCATTGGAAAGTCAACTGCATCTGGAATTGTACGTGCCGTGTCAAGTGCGGTTGTTTCCTGCATGAGTAATCTGGTGAAGTTCCCATCAGGGCGACAAGAGCTGCTGAAGCTGGCCATGCAGTTTGAGGATGGCTATGGTGTGCCAGGGTGTGTTGGCGCGTTAGACGGATGCCAACTGTGGTAAGCACGGTATGCATGCTGCACAATTTCGTCATTGATGAGTGTGATGGTGTATGGGACGTAGAGCTAGAGCGAAAGCACCGAGTATTCTACTTTGCAAACTATCTACAATTGCCAAACGAGCAGCGGTGCCCAGGGAATGAGGTAGTTGCAGGGAAAACTGGGGATGGAATTCAGAATGGATGCAATTCCGTAAGAACACGTCTGCATTCTCAACGTCTTCACCAGTTAACTGGGCTTTCGTCAGCAGCAAGCGGGAGATGTAGGCACTGTAGACTGCTGCAGCCGCGGGCGTTGCGGTATGCCCATCAGGCAACATTTCTAGTGACGCTGCTTTCCAAGCTGCAACGAGAAGAAGCACCTCCTCACTGGTCCAGACCTTCTCTCTTGTACGCTTGACAGCGCTAGCTTTCTTGCTATTGCCGCTACCGACATGACCCGGGTTGCCACCGCCAACATCATCACATCACTAGCTCCACTTAATTTCTGACCGGTGGTGCGCTCTCGCACGTCCCCATATCTCAGATGGGCAGTGCTTGTAGATGGCCTCGCGACTGCCGTGCCCCGGGAACTAACACTACCGTCCTTGGGCGCGACGCTGCACTCCAATTCACTCTCCGTAGAAGCCCTTCAAACCCCGAACTGCCACCACCAACAAAATCTCCAAAGCTGATATTTTGCTGGTTAAAAATATCGGAATAGGCGCAGTGTACACGCTGATCCGGTATACACAGAAAAAAGCTTCGGTATACCCTATTCCGGAGCCGTTCAGTGTGACCCCCACCCATTGGGTGGGATACGATGAGCCGACCTGGGTCGACGAAGCCGACCTCAACTGTGGGGCAATACGGAACGCCTTCCTGCGAGAACGAGCTAATCGTAACTGCTTCAATGTGATGCAATCACATGAGGAGATGTAAGGAGGACGGGGTGAGATTGTCTGATCGTCTCGATCCCGAGGAAGTCGGATAAGACTGAGATCAGAAGTCCATGTTGTATATGTGCATATAGGAAATGTCGACCTTCGCAAGGGATCGCGGAAGGCGAGGTGAGCCTGAAGAGAGATCACTTAGAAGAAGCGACGAAAAGAGCAAACAAGCTGAATATGTGACTGAAATTTGAAAATAATGGGACTAACAAGAAGGAATCGCAATCGCGGGATGGCGAGTGGAAGTTCTCCCCGAAGTGAAGTCAGATCCACGAACAAGGGGCCGCCGGAGGGTTGAATTTGTTCGTGAGTCGAGGGATCTGTAGCGACTGATGAGCGGAATCTGGATCGCGGTAATGGTTCCGCCAGGGATCTGCCTGATCACACTCGAACATGGCCGTGATCAAGTCGGACGGCTCGGGGATATTCGCGGTCGACCACGCGGGCTTGGCAGCCCTGGAGACCGACCCGGGATACCAGCGTACTCAGTCTTGGGTTGTCGGCAGGTGGAGGAAATAGGGATCCTACAGGAGGGCGATATCGGCTCACTGGCTCCTCATCATCGGGAGGTACGCTCCCAACAATTTCTGCCAATGATCTCCAATGCTTATGCGCCGCTGACATCGATCCTGGTGGTAGACGAAGAGATCGGGGTCCGAGTTGAGCATCCCTTCCGTGATCTCGAGGTAATGGATTGATTTACAGTACGCGATCAGGTGATCCTCCTGCAGGGCGGTATACGATACGGCGATCCGCCATAGAGGAGTGCCAGCCCGCCGGTGCAAGTTGTGATCGAAAGTCAGCGGAGTGGGGCGATTTTGTCGAAGTACGAGCTGTAGTGGGCCTAGTGCTCACTACCTAGCTTACACGTGTGCGC